GGAGACGAGGAAGACCGTGCCCATTGCTCCTCGGCCGAGGACCCGGATGGCTTTGAGATTCTCCAGGTCCAACTCCATTTTTAGAGAATTGGGTTTGGATGCGCTCCCTCTAATGGTGCAAGGGAGACGAGAGGAGGGAGAGGGGTGCATATATAGAGGAGGAGGTGGTGGATTAATTAAATTAAACCGATTGATTAATTGGTAATTAGCTGGCAGGTTTTAGGGTCTAATTTTAGTCTGTAGGATATGGGTATTTTTGGTTTGTATCGGTTACCTGGTTTGTTCTGTTGTTAAGTTTGATGAGCTGTGATTCCCGTAGAATGGGTTAGAATTTAGCGCTGTAACCTTTCTAATTTTTTTATTTTTTCACACCATCAAATTATAATAATTTTTTTTTATGTTTCCTCTATTTTGCTTCTTTGACCAATCTTACCTAATTAGCAAAATGTCTTTTTCTTTTCTTGATATAGGGAAATGCAATTCCATGTAAAGAAATACAAGTTTTGAGTTTTTTAAACTTTTTCAAGAAATAGATTGTTTTGCTTTGGTTCGCACATAAAAAATAGTAAGAAACCAATGTATTTATTTTTTTTGTGTTTGGTTCGCATAGAAAAAAAGAAAAACTTTTGTAAACAAAGCAGAGAAGAAAAAAAATCTGATGTGGCAGAGTTTTTATCAATTTCATTCGGTTGGGGAAGGAAATCGGAGAGGAAAAAAAATCTGAGCTGGCGGCGATTTCAGTAGAGTTTTTCCTCTTCCATCCGAGCGAACCAAAGCGGCACAAAGAAATGGACGTAAATAAAAAAACTGACGTGGAGGGTTAAAAATCTGACGTGGAAGGGTTTTCTGAGTTTTCCACCCCTTATAATAGCGAACCAAACAGCCCCTTAATAATGAAATAAAATAAAATAAAATGACATTTAACATCATTAAAAACAATTTTTTTTTAAAAAAATTGAAAGCATAAGAGAGGATTAATGACGACTATGATAATAGAACAGGGGAGTGAGTGGAGGAGTGTGATTGGTGTTCGATTGGGAAGGAACTTAGTGTTATAAATAAAGAGAACCATTAGTCCATGAGCACTCTATAAGAGAGGAGAGAGATAGAGAGAAATGAATTATGCACAGAAATTAATACAAATCAGGGGGGTCCATGAGCTATTCATTTCTCTCTATCTCTCTTCTCTCTTACAGAGTGCCTATGGGCACTTTGTAGAAAAACCGTTCTTAAAATTATCAATACTATAACGGTTCTCTTAAATAAGATTACAGCCAATACCTAATAACTTGGTTATTTCTATTCTAGCCTCTACTTATGGCAAATGAACTCCCAAATTAGGCTATATTACTACAAAATACGCAGTGTGTTCTCTGATGTAGGGGGTGTTTGTTTGCATGCAAGTGAAAGATGAAAGTGAGAAAGTTACTTTCATTTAACAATTAAGGTGTTTGTTTTCATGTAAGTGGTTATGAAAGTGAGATGTAAGAAAGTTGCCACATAAGATTTAATGCAATTTTGACTTCCCCTAAAAAAGTGGTGAAGTCACATGAAAGTGACAAAAAGGTGTAGGCTGTCTAAAAATCACAATAGATAGTTGATCCCCCATCAAACACCGATGATGGAAGTTACAATCTGACGACTTCCAGAAGGCTACAATCTGACGACCTTCACAACAACTAATGAAGGCCCCAATTCAACAGCCTTCACAATCAACATCGGGAGTTACAATCTGACGACTCTTATATTTTCAAGGAGCCAAGACGAAGATTACAAGATATCTCTCAAACCGTAAGGAATTTGGCGAAACGGAGGAAGCCAAACGAAGCCTTCGGCTAGGTTCGGATGGCCCCGTCTCGTCGAGATAGCCGATTTTCATATGTAATTCGTCCAATTCCGACGTACGGTTTGAAAGTTATGACCTGTTCTTCGTAGCAAGTTATGTTCTGGAGTCCGTCTGTAAGACCGGACTTCGTCAGAACATTGGACTTAGCCTAAAGCTCGCCAAGCCCGCCTAAGGTTCGCCTCTGCATTACAGAGCCAAAACGCACACGGCAAACCAGCGTTTTCAACACCAAAACGCAGAGTTAATCTCCAAAACAGCACGAACTGTGCGCGTTTACAGGCCAACTGTGCGTTTATGGGCTCAACTGTGCGTTTTTAGCCTGACACAGGCCAACTGTGCGTTTACGGCTCAACTGTGCGTTTATGGGCTCAACTGTGCGTTTTTAGCCTGAAACAGGCCAACTATGCGTTTACGGCTCAACTGTGCGTTTACAGGCCCAGCTGTGCGTTTTCAGCCTTAGCTGTGCGTTTTCAGCCTCAACTGTGCGTTTTCAGCCCAGCTGTGCGTTTTTCAGCTCCAGCTGTGCGTTTTCAGCCCCAGCTGTGCGTTTTTCAACCTCAACTGTGCGTTTCAGGTCCAGAAACGCACAGTTCGAGCCCAGAACGCTGTTTTCAGCGTTTAACTCGTTCAAGCACGATTCGAACGGTTCCAGAACCGTTTTCTCCCCAAGATTTTAGGGGATCACTACCCTATCATGGAGAGATTTATGAGGGGCAGTTACACCCCATTAAACCCTCATTAAGGAGATATTTAAGGGGGCGGTTATACCCTTAACCCCCTATAAATACCTCAAAACTCAACTGAGTTCGGATCCTTTTTTTTGGAGGGGGGGAGCTGACTTTTTGGGGATCCTTGATCGAGCATCTTGCCGCGTTCTGCAGCAACAAGGAGTTTTGGAGACCAGCAACAGGAGCTTCTTCCTTGGCTTATTAACCGAACTTTCGGTTCAAATCAACTCTTTTTCAAGAGTTCAAACTCGTTCAGAGTTATCAACTCGATCAGAGTTCAAAACTTGCTCTGCAAGTTCTTCTAAAACTCGTCAGAGTTATCAACTCGATCAGAGTTCAAAACTTACTCTACGAGTTCTTCTAAAACTCGTTCAGAGTTATCAACTCGTCAAGAGTTATTTCAAAACTTGCCACGCAAGTTCTCCACAGCGTCAAATCGTGAGGAGATGACATCGTTCCAGTGAATCAAGACGTTCGGATCGTCAACGAGAAGCAAACTCGACGCGAGCATTCGAGGGAGGCATCTCATCGCCACCGTGAAGAACCCAGAATTAAACAAAGGGGAGAATCAAATTCATTCTCCTCTCTTTTGTAATCGGAATCCAAATTGTAATTGATTTTGAGAGGAATACAAGTCAAATTTTTCTTTCATTATTTCTTTTACTACAAATTTCCAACAAACAAAAGATGGCGACTCCGCTGGGGACTAGCTTCTCTGACGAAGAAGTGGTGGCACAATCCATAGAACGCAGCCTTCAGAGGCGCGTTCCAACATCAGAACGCAGACCTCAAAACTGCGTTGATCTGGCTGAACGCAACTCTCAGGAGTGCGTCCCAGAACTAAAACGCAACTCTCAGGAGTGCGTTCCAAAATTTAAACGCAGACATCAAACCTGCGTTGATCTGGCTGAACGCAACTCTCAAGAGTGCGTCCCAGAACCAAAACGCAACTCTCAGGAGTGCGTTTCACAAACTGAACGCAACTCTCAGGAGTGCGTTTCTGAATCCGAACGCAGATCGCAGGACTGCGTTTCACTAGCAAAACGCAGACTTTGGTCTTGCGTTAATCAAGCTAAACACGACCCTCGTGTTCCTTCTTTGGAACACGATGTGATTCGTCGTGTTCAAAATGATCAACATGGATTTAAAATTCATGTTTACCAAGAACCAGTCCCATCCTTTAACGGACAGGGGGTTCCATCTCTACCCTCACGCTCTGTGAGAGGTGCCAAGGAGACTAAAGCTCCAAAGGTTGCTCCTATGCCAAAGGAAACCCTCTCCTTTAGTCGCCGAGATTACTCGAGCAGCCCTACCTCTAAAGGAGTGGGCTCAGTTTATGCCAAACGCAGCCCTCAGTGGTGCGTTGTGCAATCAAAACGCAGCCTTCAAAACTGCGTTGATTTGGCAGAACGCAACTCTCAGGAGTGCGTTTCAGAACCAAAACACAACTCTCAGGAGTGCGTTCAAGATCTAAAACGTAGACTTACGAACTGCGTTAACCAACAAAAATGCAACCGGCAAAGGTGCGTTTCATCAACAAAACGCAGACTTCGGTCTAGCGTTAGTAAAACAGAACACGACCCTCGTGTTTCTTCTTTAGAACACAATGCGATTCGTCGTGTTCGAAAAGATCAACGTGGACTCAAGATCCATGTTCACCAGGAGCCAGTCCCATCCTTTAACGGACAGGGGGTTCCATCTTTACCCTCACGCTCTGTGAGAGGTTCATCCCAAGTCTCTGACTTGTGGGAATTGCTGTCGATGTTCAACCGACTGACGAATGTCGTTTTGCTCAATAATCGACGACATCCTCACAGGAAGAAGACTTTAGAGGATGAATACCTTGGAGTCACTTCTAACATGGTTGGTAAAGGGAGATCATCAACCCTTAGTTCTGACGAGTCAGAGACAGATCATTCTCCAAGCGTCAGAGAAATCGCTAACGAGTTTGAAGGAATCTACCAACACACTCGGACGCGAACAGGAGCCATTCCCCTGTCAACTATCGGAGTTTGGCCAGAGAAACTAATTCCGATGACGAACACTCAGCCATTGCAGAGTCCCAGTCATCAAGCTCTTTTGTTGAACATAAGAGCTTCGCTTATATGACGGGAAACCATGAAGATCTCGCGAAGAGACTTGATGAACAGGAGGCCATGCTCAAATCTCAGCAGGAGGCTATCAATGAACTCATGGCCATGTTGACTCAAATCGTCGCAGACAAGGCCAAATCTCAGGAGACAGATTCGCCGCTTAGGCAAGAATCTTCTCAGAGAGGAAAAGCGTCTTCATCCCAACCTCACACAAGCAAAGGGAAGGGAAAAGTGGTTGATGATACAGCTTCTGACCAAGAAGCCCACAAACTGGAATCTTATAATAAAAATCCAACAACATTAACCGTAGCTTTCCATCCATGTGGATAAAATTATGCAGAGGGGTGTGTAGGCGTCAAAAATTACCTATAGGTCCCGCACGCAGCTCGAGACACAGAGAAGATGATGAACGTCACTATCCGAGTCACAGAAGCTTAATTGACATTGACAAGCGTATGAAGTGAGTCAACGAACCATGCGAAGCAACGAAACTTCGGAATAACGGAAACACGAACTGATCGGGAGCTCCGCGTCACTTACGAAAGACTAAAATACCCCCCGTGTCTCATCCACTCTATAGATGATTCAATCATGGGAGCTTGTAGATCATCTTGACGGCTTTCCGACGCATCTTGAATCCCACGATTCCGAGTTCGGACAACGAAG